ATAAGAAGCGGAGAACAGCTAAATGCCCTTCTTAGGTGTACGGTCTACCCCAGCACTCATGCAACGTCACCCTCAACTTATCGGCTCCAAAAGCAAAAGTTACGTCCGTGCGCGCTTCCGCCGCCACAGCTTCGCACGCGAAAATGCGCCGCAGGCTGCTGAGCGCGCCTCACTGTCGAACGCCAGCCCCTCCGCTAGCGGCGCTACGCGCGTTTTTCAAAGCGCCCCCTATAGTTCCCGCGCGGAGCGTTTATATAATGGGAGTGAGTGAAGATTGACAAGTGCAGCCGTAGTGATATTGTGAACGAAGAGGAGAGAAAGTGAATATTGATTTTATTGCATGAAAGTTAGGGAAAGGGAAAGAGAGCTGGCGAAAAACTGGGCCAGGAGCGGGGATTGAACCCGCAACCTACGCCTGTCCGGGGCGACGCCTTAACCGATTAGACCATCCCGGCCACTGGTTTACCGATAAAAAAGCAGCAAATAGTTTTGGAGGGATTAAATATAATATTTGAACGCCATTATTATCACAAAACCAGTTTTTGGGACATGTGGTTGGACATAAGCCAACTATACTTGGTGTAATGTGAAGCCAATGAGAGGCCCAATGTTAAGCGTTTGCTCGTGTCACATGAAACGATGAAGCGATAAAAAAAAAAAAAACGCCACAAGCCTTTTTTCGTTGCGATGAGTAGCCTTCGTAGGAGCGATTTGGCCTGCGTTCTCTGAAATACCCTGTATATATATATATATATATATATATATATATATATATATATATATATATATATATATATATAATTTTATTTTAATGCATACAGGCAATCTTACAAACATCAACAACATACTGAGCAACAATTACAATCTTCTGTCACAGAGTGACCGCCTCAAAGAAATCTTTCCTGCTGCTCCTCGGGTCGTCTATCGACGCGGCAGGAATCTCCGGGACGTCTGTCTTATGGTACGTTTACACCTGAGAAGAAATCTGCTGCCGCGGGAGCGGATCCGCTCCCGGCGGCGGCGGCGACGAGCGGGTTGCGTTTACATCTGTTTCCTTCGAGCAGTAGCGGCAGCGCCGGCTGCGGCATCGGTTCCCGCAACGTCTCGTCAAATATGACGAGAAGGCGCGAGAGTTCCCGCCTCGGCTCTCTCTCTCCCGGGCGTTGCTGCTCCTTGAAGAACGCGTACTCGTGACGTAGGCAGCGTCGCGCCGCGCAAGAATGTCACATCCGGTCAGCGAAACGCCTCGTTCGGCGGCAGAAATAGATCCCGGACCTAAACGGCTCGCCGCCGCGTTTTCCGCCCAGCGTTACGCCCCAGCGGCAAAAGGTGGGCGGATTCGCTGGCGGATCCGCAAGTGTAAACGTACCATTAGTAAAATCAAAACCTACCACTCCCGCAAGCCTAGGTTGCCGACCATGCCGAAAGCCCAGGTTTAAAGTATGCAAGCACATGTCAGAAACAAAGAACGCCACGAGCACAAATTCAGGGTTCACGTGGAACATAAGGGGTAGCTACGATTGCGGCACGTCAAACGTGATTTATCTCCTGCACTGCAGTGTCTGTAACAAACAGTACGTCGGACAGTCTAATCTGGCTTTCAGACCACACTGTAACAACCACAAATGTCACGCACAAACACTCCCCGACCTTCCGCTCTCAAAGCACCTGTCTCTTTCTAACCACTCAGTCAAGGACATTTCTGTTGTAATTTTGGAATCAGGCTTCAGCACAAAAATTGAAAGAGAGCAAAAAGAATCATATTTTATTTATAAGTTTAATACCTTCAACCAGGGCATTAATGAAAGTCCGGGAAGGCTGTTTAGTTTGCAGCTGGCTCGTTGGAGAGCTGATCCTCTCCGTCCTTGAGCTTCTCGAGATGCACACGCTGAGGACACTAGGAGATCTTCAAACTTAACAATCGATATTTAAACCACATCCTAATACGTTTAAGTCCAAAGAGAACCTCCAAAACGGATGAATGCGGCTCAAGCGGTTAATCTGAGGCAGGCATAGACTGTTACATCCTACCACTGATTATTCAAGGAAAAAATCCCCCAAGTTTTAATCCACCTCAAACTTCGATCTTTTAGCACAAAGGAATGTCTCGGTATTTGGGCGCGTCGGTGGTCACATGTGATCTATATCTGCTTTGAAGACGAGCCACCCCTTCCCAACCAGAAACTTCCAAACACACCTTTCTTTTTTTTTTCGCGCTCTTTTTGTGCGAGCGTTAATAATCTCTCCGCCAACCGTTTTTTTTTTTTTTTTTTCCGGCGGGCGTAAATAATTTTTTCGCCAACCGTTTTTTTTTTTTTTTTTTTGGGGGGGGGGGGGGGCATTTGCAAGTTTTGGTTCCCTTTCCTTTCTGTGTGAACTATCTGTTTTGTCAACGCTGGTTTCATTTCTTACTGCACTTTACTCCCTCTAATTTCTTCTTAGGGGTATGTAACTATTCACGGGCTGTACACTCACTGCCTGATGAAGAGCGGTCCCCGCTCGAAACGTCGTAATAAGCTTGGAAGTAGTAACTCCGACAACACGCATCTTTGACTTACTAACTTCTCCCCGTCCATTGTTTTACATTTACCTTACTTCACCTGTATATATATATATATATATAATATATATATATATATATATATATATATATATATATATATATATATATATATATATATATATATATATATATATATATATATATATATGGTGTTTCAGAAAACGCAGGCCAAATCGCTCCTGCGAACACTAAGCATCGCACAAAAAAAAAAAAAAAGGTTGATGCCGCGTTGGTGATTGCCCAATAGTCTATTTAGGAAAAAAAATAACGTTTAGAAAACAATAACATTTTTGTTCTTTTAGAAAGTAACTCTATATTTGCTCATTTTAAGGCCATAGTTTCAAATAGACACTTACTGGGCATCATCAATAACCCTTATATCAAACCTTTTACGACAAGCATAAAGCATGCCGAGCATTTTACCATGTTTTGAAAAACCCTTCAATTCTGACGCGTGGTCTGGTTTCTGATTCTTATCCAAGCGCACCTTGGCGGCAGCTGTCCTGCCCTCCGACGGCCGAAGCTAAGGCCAGACAATTCGCCAGTCTCCCCACCCGCCCTTCTAGGTCGGACATTTGATATTCTAGGTCGAATATTCGATATACTGAGTGTAGTAGATTCGAGAGAGAGTGAACTCACTCTCTTTCGAAGTCTCGCTTCAGCCACCTGTCACGTCGACGCTACAACGTTCGCTGCTGCCGTTTCGACGCTCATTCTTTCATTTGTCTCTGGCACAAGTTCACCGATTAAACCCCTAGTAAACCGAATTTATTATAAAGGTTTTCACCATGTAGTTGCCGACGCGACTCACTTAATAGGGACATTGGGTGTTAAACATACCGAGGAACCAATAGGCGTTGACAATATGGCTATGTTCCAAATCTTTCCCCAGTAACCTGTTTCCTACGTTAGCGGGTAATACCACGTGACATTACGAGTAAGCGATCCGCTACTTGATTTACGTGGATTGGCTTCGTCTTGGGCTATGTCAAAAATAAAACACAGCAGCGATGGCAGAAAATAACAAACGATCCGTTGTGGTCACGGAGAAAGCACTCAAAGAGCCGATAATATTAATGACGGCGCAGTGTTTTCTGGGGTGGCTCCACCAGCTCCTTTTGCTCACCATCCTTTTGGGCTGTATATTGACATCAAAATTACTCCATTCAGTTAGACATTAAAAATTTGTTTTTATTAATCAGCGCGATCCCTGTAAATCTAGTCCAGGTGCCCCAAACGCTTATATTCCGCGCATGGTAATTTGCACCGATCACGTTTTGCAGAAATTGCTTTCATACAGTGCAGCGGTACAGCACAGGGGGATTTCTCAACATTGATATGTAACTTACGTTCGCTTTGAGGCGATCATCATTGCAAAATCACAAAGAAAACTTCCAAACCGCTATAGGCAGCTTCTTGGGGAGGGAGATGGGGAGTGGTTATTGACAAATCATATACATGAACCTTTCCAAGCCTTCACTGCATTACAAGCGTTATTCTCTCATTACACACACTCTGGGGGAAAGAAAAAATACTTCCACATCATTTACTGCATTCGAATATTTTCAGCCTTGAACATAAGAATACGGCATTCGTTTAAACGTCAAGGACGAAAAGGCGGAGAAGCTTCTGTTTACGCCCGGACTCTGTTAATAAGAACAGGTGTACCTTCCGGGGGGAAGGCGCACGGCGTGGATGTGATGCAGTCAGTTCCTGTGTTGGATAAAGCAAAGCGCAATAACTAAACTTAGACGGCTGCACCTCATTCTTTGGTATTTCGAGCGTCCGCCACCAAAGCCAACGGAGCAAGCGAGCTTTGACTGCTGGCGGCGCAGAAAGCAGACGAAGAACAGATCCCGTGACATATATATACTCGATTTGATCCGACGTTACCCCCCGATCGAGGAGGGTAGCGTGAGTAAGTACTCCGCAGTAAACAACCCGCTTCTGGACCGCGGGGATCTGACGTCATCGAGTGAGCGCGAGTAAGTTTTCAAACGCCACGGTACGAAACCGTTACTACGGATTTTGTTACACAGCCTATGGAGATAACAAAATTTATGTGATTGGCAAGGTAAGTCGAGGGATGAATACATATTTTCTGATTCTCCTCCTGGCGATCCATAGGGTGGAAGGTGCGCACACCAGGTTGCGAAGAGAGGCTCCGGACATATAGTTCGTATTATTTATCAATACTACTAAGAAACGGCGTAAACGTGACGTGTTTTCTTACACATAAGTAGGACGTTACCTGTTGAATTACAAAACACTGGCTATAGGTGGCGTAAGTTTTTGTCCGATTATAGACGTTTGTCCGTATACAACTATCAAGCCTTTCTTTGAATACTATTACCTTGAATATACCTCGATGTTTCTGGCACCAACAAAGTGCACATGAGAGTGCCCTAGTTTAAAAAAAAGACCGCAAGAAAGAAAATAAAGAAGGAAGATTGTTGAATTTTATTATTTTAGTTTTTTCTTTCTTAATAATGAAATGTGTGCGAATATTCAGAACCAGCTCTTTGTACTGTTTTTACTTTAGTACAACTCTCTTTACGGCAGTTCAAGTTTCTTCCATAAGCCCATGACATCAGAGCCACGAGTTTTCACCGCAATGTGCTCCTTCAAACGCGCCGCTTGCTCCGCGGAGAAGTGCGTCTTCCAGTCTCCGACGACACCCTTGCGTACAAAATTGCCAGGTGGTTTATGAATGTTGGGCACTCTGTTGCCAATGGCTTTCATCGCGCGCTTCGCCCACTCGGGTTTTTGATCGTCCGGAACCAAACTCCGCTCAACAGCAAACTTTTTTTGCGCCACGTTTACGTGTTCCTTCATAGCTTCGAAACTTGTTCTGTTCAGAATGTTTTCCAGGGCCCTTTTATCGGCTCGTAGCTTTTTCCCGTAATCCTCTCCGAGAAAGTCAGCGATCTTCATCACCCACGTAGCGGGGTCCTCCTTGAGGTCTTCGTAGGTCAAGAAAAGCACGTTTGGATCATCGCGATGATCGTACCAGGACAGCAGATGGTCGAAGTAATCTCCAAAGTCCACCTTTCCTGCCAAGAACATTTCTAAGAATTCGTCAAACGTTCCGTCGCTGAATAGATAGATCGGTATGTTCCTGGTGTGGTGGTAAAACGATACGCAACAGTCGTACGGATTTCGGCAGATGCAGATGTACTTGGCGTCTTTCGAGTACGGATGCAGGTGGAAAGGCATGTGGGTCTTGATGAATCCTGGTCTTCGCATTGTTCTTGTGGCCTCCGCGCCGTGCATGTCCAGAAAAGGTATCTCCCGGTTGTAGTCCATCCAGTTTGCTGGCGGCGCACGGTCGTTGATGATGTTGTAGGCGATGTGTTCCACCCATGTATTGCCAGATTTCGGGTAGCTGACGATGAACACGTCATCAGGCTCGGGCACGTAGTTCAGCGCTGAACGTATTGTTTCTCCGTCACCGGCCCAGCAACGATAATAGCCGTCTATCATTCCGTACACAGGCCTTTCCATGGCATCCTAGAAGTGAAAAGCATAATTTGTTAGGAGAATCCACAACAAAACTTCGTATCTTTTAAGAGTTGCTGACATGTTAAATTATTTCAGTGCCTATGTAAAAAGTTAATAGAACAAAAAACACGATGCCTGGTGTCTTTGGCTTACACAAAAAGAACACGACTCTGAAACAATTCGGTAAAACTCTATTGAATCCTTAAGGCTTTTGTTGTTTTGGCAGCAACTCTCACGCTAGCAGGAAAAGGACTGATTCGTTAAAATCAACACATATAATTGTCAAACTATGAAAAAACAACAGCTTAGCGAACCTAACTTCTTATGTGTTTCGACATTGGGTTATTTATTGATATGGCCGTGTTCGATATTTTAGAAAGGCGCATGGCGTTCACCTGTTCTGAAGCTCCCGAAACAGATGGGTGACTGTAAAAGGCTGTATGTTCTATATTTTATTTCCCGGGTATCATTGGCATGTTGTCATTCGCGGTGAGAGCAAAGAAAAAGGCATGGCGTCTGTGAGGGCCTCTTCTCCCTTTCAGCCAAATTCTTTAGGGACTTCTTAAAACATGGTGATAATTGTGGGTATCCCCTTTGGGGGTACCAGGTAGAAACACAGAAGGTTTTTTGGATCCGGATGATGACATGCTTATTGACGAGAACGCCACACGTTTGCCCGACGGCCAACAATGTCCGAGGTAACGGCGCTGTCTCTTTTGACAGGATCGCCACTCGGAACCCGCGCTGCGACTACTGACAGTATTACAGAGGGTGAGGATCAGTAAAAGAAAGGAAGGCTCCGTCAAGCAGAGCCTCCTCCAGCGAGAGTCGGCTTTGGCCGTTGGATTTGACCGTCTTATGTAGAGAGCCTTCATATGTGCTTTGCTAGGGTGGTGGCATCCTTTGTAATACCACTCGCCGACAAACCAGCAGCCATTTTGGTCTCGGCGATAATCCGTGGGGCTTATAATCCTCCCGGAAACAAGCACCTTACCTCACAAGTTCGGAGCAGCGTTGTGGAACCCACGGAGGGAGGATTAGCATTTCCCCCCTCCGATGGGGGGACCGATGGACACAAAGGCCACTTTCCGGCGCACGGGAAACGCACGGGGAAACAATGAGGAACAAAATGGCGGCGGGGGAAAGGGAAACAGGCAGTTGGCATCACTCTATGCGAAGCGAACATGAAGGCACCCTAGTCTTATGTAGCCTGCGGGAATGGACGCGCCCTGGGTGGTCAGATGTAGGTTGGCACCCAGGAGGAGCGGACACGTGCAAGTACTAAGATCCCGAAAGGTGTGCCTTCGGTAAATCACCCGAGAAGGGCGAGGGAGAGCCGTCCGCGAGGAAATACGGCCTCGCCTCGCATCCGAGACGCGCCCAGATTTGGCCACGCTCCATGGCCTGCCTGAGCTAGGCCAAGATAGGGACACGGGGAACATGTGGTTCCCATAAACTGAACTGCTTTTTGTTTAGGCTTTTCATGTGAAGATAGTTGTATTGGTTCCTCACATGAGTAGAAACATAATTAGAACAAAGAGCTTAGATGCGTCCTCACTAGGACTGCCTAAGTGGTCTCCTTTACAGCCTTCAGTTACCTACACACTAAACATTGTAACACCCATAATCGTGTAAGAAGGGTGTAAGAAGGGTTACGTTATTAAAAGCACCATTTCTACACCCTTTCTATGCAAGTTCTGAATATTAGTGGGTGTAAAAAGGGTGTGCTGACGTTTTACACCCGTTACACGCCCTTTTTACGCCCCACTTGTAGCGATGGTGTCTGAAATAGTGTAAGAGTGAATGGTCGAATTTTACGTCCTTCATTCACATGGTGTGAAAGGGGCATAATGGTGATGCAATCGGATACACCCATGATTTCGTAGCCGCTAATATTTATTGCTTTAGTGAAACTGTTGCTGATGCACGGTGATACAAACATCGAGTACAGTTAATCGGGACACGAAGTCGCGTATAATGAGGAAGTGCTAGAGAATAGCTTTTGCAACTCCGATCGAACTCTCCGTCCGACACGAGCCGAAAATTACGTGCCGCGCGTGCATCAGTTTTATCAGTTCAACTTTGATTTAAACAAAATCATCTCCGCTCGCAAAATGTGAACGAAGACGTGTAAATACACGGCCCAGGCAGCACACAGTATTGCGCCGATATAGGATGAAATCGTAAAAATTGTGCCGTTACAATTTGGATCCGGCCAATATCTGTGAAAAATGGGATGGGTCGCGCCAACGCCATCATTACATTACCTACGCAATGCCGTTTTTGGTTGACTGTCAAAAGTGCTTTGCGTGAATCGGCTATGTCGGCGAGGTATTTCTATTTCCTAACCGCTAAAATCCGACGTTAAAAAAAAAGAAAAAAAGATTAAGCCAAGCGTAATAAATTTACTTTCAACCCGAGAAAGACCTCCTGCGTAAAAGCCTTGAACAAACTGTGGCGCCCTCGTTTGGGGTATTACAAACTCACGTGACTGGGCCTCGCAGTCCTTATAGCACCTTCACTGAGATTTTATTTTTGTGTGCAGTTCTGAAAAAACAATGCCGCAAGAAAATTTAATATGCCAAATTCATGACACCCCCGCTTGGTTGGGTACGCGACTCTTATTTCTGTGTGGTGACACCAAAATATCTGGCGTCCCGACGTCTTTTTTTTTTTTTTTTTTTGGGGGGGGGGGGGGGGGGTTTCTTTGGTATGCATGAAACCTCTCTCTCGCTGCTTACGCGTCTCTTGTTTCATGCTCTCAGCACCTCAGCTTTGACCGGTGCTTCGACGGCGCTCGAATTTGTTTTTTGTATTTATTTTGGGATATCGCGGTCCGCACCAGAGCAGGCACGCTTCTACATGAATGGCAGTTTCAGATGCTGAAATTTGTACTACGCAAAGCAAGTCCTGACGAGTCCCATTTCGCGACCCTCCCTGGGCCGTGCAGGCGGCCATACAAAGCAGCAGAGGGGAGATTAGCTGCTCTGCCTAGGGTGCCTACATGTTCCCGCTGCTCCGCTGTTTAGGGTGGCGACAACGTTTGTGATACCTGTTGCCGACAAACCAGTGTTGCCTACCTCGCTACCATGGCAGCCTCCGCTGTTTCGTCGACCATTCTGTCACACTCGCCAGTCGTGCGCTCGCCCTACTCCACTAATCCTCGTTAGGGCTAGGGAGCGCCCACCGCTCCCGTTCCGACGGCGAGGTTTCGGCGTGCGATGCCGGTTTGTTGCGTTCCATTTCGTCGAGGGGACTCACGTTTCGATAAACGCAACGCATACTTCCTGCTCGCAACTTCAAAGTATGAAACACCCGAATAAAGAGAGCGACAGCCACGACGACCGCCATCCCGCTGAGCCTCCGACTCGTCCGACTCCTCTTATGAACGGAAACGGAAGTGGCCTCACAGTGTTGCCGGTGTGTCGAAACTACGAAAACTCAACGTTGTGTACGTTTAGCCAAATAAGAAGTGGGTCAAAATGGCGGTGGGAGAGGATCTGGGAAAGGGTAACAAGAAGTTGGCGCCACCCTAAAGCGCAGCGGAAACATGTAGGCACCCTAGCTCTGCCCATTTGACCTCGTCTTCTGATAAGCCACCACACCTCTTTTTGTGTCTTCGTATGGCTGTGAGCGAGTGCGAAGGCCGCCTCTAGCAAATCAGAGGGGTGGTGCGAAACACGTGATTGCTCTCCGTAGGACAAAAACGCTTGACGAAAATTTGGCACGTGACTTGCTCTGACACGTTGATGGGCTCACTGGGGCCGTAGTCTTTGCTGTATGCCAAGTTATGGTGAGTTGTAGGGGCCACGTAGGTCCGGTTTCCAAAAAGGTGCCTGTCAGTGTTTTCCTGTGTTTCGTGCGTTGCAGCCGCGGCCGTGATTTCTTGTCGTGAACGGCTCGAATACATCCATGCCGACTTTCGGTAATGGCCCTTTATTTCGTCGGAGTCCGTGGAAATATTGTGCTGTGTTTGTTGGACGCGTTTCGACAAAGAGCTGCTCATCGGCGGCCGCGAGACTTCCGCGTTGAATGTGATCGACCAAATTCTACTTCGACATCGTGTTTACGCTGTTTTGGGACCTCAGTGCTTCATATTAAGCGAGGCTACCAGTTCAAGGAGACAGCATGACATGCCACAGTCGAGACACGAATGTTTCAGTGACTTATACGTAACGTAACTTAACGTAAGAAAAATGGGGCAGTGTGAATGAGCCTTTATGTTTAAACCGTAGTGACTGGGCCTCACGGTAAGGCAACAAACAGCTGGTCATCGTGGCTCAAATCTGGGGCTAAGAAAAAGGGTCCAATAAACCCCTTTCTCATGAAGTACGTCTTCAATAGCGTTGCACATGGGTGAAAGCCTCCTAGGTCTTCTTTCTTGGGATTTTTTTTAATTTAATTTATTGAAATAAGAATAATGTCAGACGATCAACTTTCACGGTGTTGGTTTAAGAATGCCAAGCTTCCACATTGGGCTTTACACCAACCATGACTCTTTCCCTTTGCAACTAATGACAAGCAGCCAGGGCCGACTTGGTAGAAACAGCGTCTCAGTTGAGACTGGGGGAAAGAAAGCACTGCCAAAGCCAGCGCACGACCTGAGTGGGACTCAGGCCGCGTCTCAAGACACTCGCGCGCCCCAGTCTTTGCAGTGATTTCGCTCACTCAGTGTCAGCTGAGACACTGTTCTAGCAAGCCGGTCCGAGATCACAACTAGTGAAGTTTCCTCGGGCTTCCCTTTCGTTTTTAGGAGTCCACGCAATCAGTGTGACGAGATAAAATCAAGTGAGATGCTCAGTGCTGCCCTGCCATGTCCTTCTATGACCGGGCTAGAGAGTGGTTTTCCCTGTGGCCTTCACTCTCGCCTAGGACTAATGGGACTTCTTTAGCCGCTTGGGAGTGCGACCGTATACCATGCCCTAAAGCCCCTTTATCCTGCAGGAAAAGTGGTGCCATTCATTGTTGTGGAAATTCTCGAGACACGTGCCGCGCGCCACTTCTGGGAAAAACATGGCGTCTGAAATTA